ATTTTTCTTTTGAATTGAGAGTGTTTGTTAACTAAAAGTTACGAAGTCTCAAATATAAATTCTACATGAGAAAAGAATATAATAGACCGTTTGAAGTTCTCATAATTTACTTCGGCTCTCACTTCACCTCTAAAATTTATTTGATTGACTCCAATTCCTACTCCGGTGAACTATGATTCTGCGTTTAGTATCTGTATTCAATTCAGCTATCGAGTAAGCCTCTGAGTATGCATATAACCTATGAAAGTGAACGCCAGTGTTGCTCTTCGCTTCAGAAACATCAAACAACATACATACTAACATTCACCTTCACAATCCACATAGACAATCAGATCAGATACGCCGGCCCACACTCTCGTTTATTCTATGGATCATTGCCAGAGATAAAAAGCGAATATCAACAAGTTTGACTCTCAACATCTGTTAAGAATTTGAATCGATATTGAATTTTTGTACTCGATGATTTCCCCAATCAACGACATAGAGATTCCCGTGTCGATCGAATGACAAACCGACGGGCCAATGGAGTTGGTTCGATTGTTCTCCTCTACCGTTTCCACCAACAATGACACTTCCTTGTGTGGCTCCTTTAGGCCAACGCATGATTTGATTATTCCCTGCATCAGCCACATAGACAGTGCCCAATTGATCGACAACGACTCCTCGAGGATATGACAATTGTGTAAGATCATTTCCTTTTTCTTGACCACCAGCCACGACAATGCCTTGTTTTGCACCTTCCATCCATTTCATCACACGATGATTTATCCGATCAGATACGTACACTGAATGATCTCGATCGACGAATACGTATGTTGGGGAAGAGAGTTGATCGAGACGATTTCCACTTCCATTGCCACCTGCAACCACTGTTCCTTGAGATTCTCCTCTTCGATATCGTCTCACTTCATGTTTTCCATAGTCAGCGACATAGAGAGATCCATTCTCGTCCATTGTCAAACCCCAACAAGAGATGTTGGAGATGATTGTTTCTCCACTTGTCCCATTTCGACGAGGCCATCGAACCACTCTTCTATTCGAAGTATCGCATATGATGAGACTATCTCTCTCTTTGTCGATAATCACATCTGTTGGGTTATACAATTGATGATCTCCACTTCCTTTCCATTTCCACCGGCAACCACTTGGCCACTTGTTGCACCTCGTTTCC